ACTCCTACTCCTACTCCTACTCCTACTGATACTACTACTACTACTACTACTACTACTACTACTACTACTACTACTACTACTACTACTACTACTACTACTACTACTACTACTACTACTACTACTACTACTACTACTACTACTACTACTACTACTACTACTACTACTACTACTACTACTACTACTACTACTACTACTACTACTACTACTACTACTACTACTACTACTACTACTACTACTACTACTACTACTACTACTACTACTACTACTACTACTACTACGACTACTACTACTACTACTACTACTACTACTACTACTACTACTACTACTACTACTACTACTACTACTACTACTACTACTACTACTACTACTACTACTACTACTACTACTACTACTACTACTACTACTACTACTACTACTACTACTACTACTACTACTACTACTACTACCACTACTACTTCTACTACTACTACGATCCAGCAAAAGACGCGCCAGATCCCAACCGCAATAACTCAGGCGTAAATCTGCTCCTGTAAGGTGTTCATCGCAATTTCAGATAGCAATGAACAAGTATGGTAACATTTCAATATGTTTTCTGTATTCGCTTCCTCCTCGGTTGGGATCTGACCGTGCCTGCTGTTTTAGACGGTTGGGATCTGAACCGTCCGGTTGGGATCTCACGCGTCCGGTTGGGATCTGAACCCATCGCGAGCGCTCCCCGAGCGTGTGGCGCGGCCGGCCCCGCCGCTCGGCACGCGGCGGCTGCTGCGACATCGGGCCGGGGGCGGCGGGGCCGGCTGTGCCACACGCTCGGGGAGCGCTCCTGAGGGCGGTCCTGAGGCAGGATTCCTGAAAAGGGGTCCGGAAACGGCATACACAGCTTCGGCACCGCCGCTCGGCACGCGGCGGCTGCTGCGACATCGGGCCGGGGGCGGCGGGGCCCAGTGCGGAGAGACGGGTCGCGGCTGACGGCCATCGATGCCGCGCCGCCGCGGGTAGCCCATCAGCTTGCGACTGCCGAGGACGCGCCAGGCATTCGGACAAGCGCGAGGGAGCAACGCGCCGCCGGCCTCCCAACGGCGGCGTGCCACGGGTAGGAAGGAGTCCCTGGAGGGTTCTAGGAAGATCACCGCTGGAAGACGAGTAAGCCCAATGAAAGGGCCATCAAGGTGAATCCTGTCGGATGCAACCCAAACATTCAACGGGAGCAAGCCGGACTCAGCGAAGTGAAACGGAGTTCACCGTGGTTGACGAGCAGGCTTAGGGCCGTTGTCATCCACGGATGTACTGGCGCCGCTGCGGAAACTCGCTTCCCCGGAGTTGCATCCTAACGATTGACACGCTTCTTCTCGGCGGCGAGCCCATGGAGAAAGCCAGAGAGCGGGCGGGCCTTTTCAAAAGGCTCGGAAGGCCTCGGGCCCTCTGAGAAAAGATCCTTCCGCCCTCCACGAAGACGCAGAGAACCCCCGACAGGGCGCGAGGACGTCTGCGAAGCCGCGCCGCCTGCTGAGAAGGCCCTGCCCCCTCTCGCCTCCCCCAAGGGGGGCGCTCCGCCGATCGACCCTCCTTGCCCGGACAGGCGACGTCTTGCTTCTTCCTGACTACCTACCAGACCACCCCAACCCAACCCGAAGACCCGAATTTGACCCGAATTTCGGGTTGGGGGGGGTACGGATACCATGTGTTTTTTCAACGTTCCCCGACCCCCCCCCCACTGGAAATCGAGGATAAATTTGGGCCTTCGGGTTGGGTTGGGGTGGTTTGGTGGGTGGTGACTTCCAGGGCGGGGCCCCCGGAAAGCCCGACCCGTTATCCCCGAGGGCCGGCTCTCCATCGCTCCCCGACCGCCCCATGGGGCCCCACGAGCGCCCCCGGAGGTTCCGAAGGTGGCCAACAAAAACCGCCCGCCGTGACTTTTTGTTCTATCACGGCGCGAGCACGTCTGCATGCCGGTCGGCGACCGCGTGGCGGAGCCCAGGCCGAGGCAGGCTGCCCCCCACGCCGGGCGCCTCGCCGGCCTCCAGCATCGAGGCGTGGGCCTGCCGCGCGCGCGCGGGGCCCGCGCGCGCCCCCCCCGCCCACCCCCCAGCCCGAGCAGCCCCGCAGGAAGGTCGGGGCCTCGCATACCCACCGGTCGGAAGAAGTAGGTCGAAACCTGAAGCAGGAAGGCGTTGGAAATAGATTGGGCTTCCGCCCGCCTCCCGAAGAGGAGGGACGAGGGAAAACCACTCGACTCTTGAAGTAGGAAGGCGCTGAAAGTAGATTGGAATCTTGGAATCCAAAAATACCTACTTTCAACGACCGATGGGTACGGGGGCTTGGCTAAGCGGGGTCTCAGGCTTTTCCATCTGCCCCCGTTTTTGCTATGCCCCCGTCTACGGCGCCCAGGGCCCCCTAAATGGGGGGATCGTCAAACGTGGAAACTTGGCTGCCTCGATGCGCCCGCTTCGAGACGCAACATGTACGGCACTTGAAACGTTGGTGTCCTTAGGTTGCATGTTGGCTCAGCTTTTTGGCCCACATTCTGGCGAACGCATCGCATCATACCTACGTTATCAGTCTACGTGTTGAGCTGCGTATCAAGACACTACGTGTTGCGTGCTGCGTACTGGGGCAGCTAAGCGTGGCAGTGGGCGTTCCCGTGCCCCCGTTTGCTGTGCCCCCGTCTCTGGCGCTCTGAGAGGGAGGCGGCGGCGACGACCCCCGGGCCTCCTCGCCACGCGGAAGGAGCGTAACGCTCGCTGCTGCTGCTTCCTCTCGTGTGCTGCCATTCCCTGGGCAGCTTGTCTGCAAGGGTTCTCTCTCTCTCTCTCTCGTTTCTCTCTCTCTCTCTCTCTCTCTCTCTCTCTCTCTCTATCTCTCCTTATATACATGTATACTAGAACCACGCGCGCGCTTCGCGCGCGCTTAGGTTCTAGCTAGGAGGCGAGCTTGAGTCAACGAAAGTCGCAGGGAAGGGGGCAGGGGGAAGAAGGCCAGAGAGCGCTGAAGGATACAAATACTGGAACCCTCTTGTGATTTTGTGGGGGGCCTCGTCCGGCCGCTCGCTGGGAGTTTGACGTAGCTTCTCGGGAGCCTCTGAACCTGTCGGGGGCCTCCTGGAAGCAGGTTCGAAGCATTTTGGGGGCCGATTTGGGGCTTCTCGGGGCCTCCTTTGGGCCTCTTGGGGGTCTCCTGGGGCCTCTTGAGGGGCCTCCTTGGGGCCTCCTGGCGGCCTCTTGGGGCGGAAGGCTCGAGCTTGCGGTTCGTGGTCCCCCTCTGGGCCCCCTCTTGGGCCCGTCTTGGGGCCCTCTTGGGCCATCTTGGGCGCCTCTTGGGCCGTCTTGGGGCCCTCTTGGGCTGTCCTGGGGCCCTCTTGGAAGCTTCTTGGGCCGTCTTGGGGCGGTCTTGGGCGCCTCTTGGGCCGTCCTGTAACGTCGGAAAGCCCAAAAGGCGACTTTGTTGAAAAATGTACGTTTTACGAAGGGAATGGGCCAATTTTTGCGTCTAGGGGCCCTCTTGGGACGCATGTTGGAGGCTTCTTGGGGCGTCTTGGGGGCGTCCTTGGACGTCTGGGGTCTCCTGGGGCCTCTTGAGGGGCCTCCTGGGGGCCTCCTGGCGGCCTCTTGGGGCGGAAGGCTCGAGCTTGCGGTTCGTGGTCCCCCTCTGGGCCCCCTCTTGGGCCCGTCTTGGGGCCCTCTTGGGCCATCTTGGGCGCCTCTTGGGCCGTCTTGGGGCCCTCTTGGGCTGTCCTGGGGCCCTCTTGGAAGCTTCTTGGGCCGTCTTGGGGCGGTCTTGGGCGCCTCTTGGGCCGTCCTGTAACGTCGGAAAGCCCAAAAGGCGACTTTGTGAAAAATGTACGTTTTACGAAGGGAATGGGTCAATTTTTGCGTCTAGGGGCCCTCTTGGGACGCATGTTGGAGGCTTCTTGGGGCGTCTTGGGGGCGTCCTTGGACGTCTGGGGTCTCCTGGGGCCTCTTGAGGGGCCTCCTGGGGGCCTCCTGGCGGCCTCTTGGGGCGGAAGGCTCGAGCTTGCGGTTCGTGGTCCCCCTCTGGGCCCCCTCTTGGGCCCGTCTTGGGGCCCTCTTGGGCCATCTTGGGCGCCTCTTGGGCCGTCTTGGGGCCCTCTTGGGCTGTCCTGGGGCCCTCTTGGAAGCTTCTTGGGCCGTCTTGGGGCGGTCTTGGGCGCCTCTTGGGCCGTCCTGTAACGTCGGAAAGCCCAAAAGACAACTTTGTTGAAAATGTACGTTTTACGAAGGGAATGGGCCAATTTTTGCGTCTAGGGGCCCTCTTGGGACGCATGTTGGAGGCTTCTTGGGGCCTCTTGGGGGCGTCCTTGGACGTCTGGAGGCCATCTTCAGCATCTCGGAGCCCTCTTGGAGGCCTCTTGGAAGTTTCTTGGGCCGTCTTGGGCGCTCCTGGGGCCGTCTTGTCTGACCGGGGAGGCCTCCGGCAAGCCCCGACGAGCCTCCGGGCCCCCCGGGGTGCACATTTGCGGTCGAGGTCCCGGCCCCGGGCCCCCGGACCCGGTGCGCCGTTATATGTATATACATGTATATACGCATATACATATACTAGTGTGGACCCGTGGATAACTTCTCGGAGCTGCGTGAGTCGAAGTTTGCCGACGCGCGCGTCTGTCTCTGGCGCGCAAATGCCGGCAATCTGCGGTGTGCGAGTTTCGAGTCTTCAGGCCCTCTTGGGGGTCCTCCTCACGCTCTTTTGGGACGTGTTAGGCCCTTTGGGGCAGTCTTGGCAGCATCTTCGGCCGTCTTGGGGCCCTCGTGCAGACTCGGGTCCCTCTTGGCCTGTCTTGGGGGCCTCCTGGGTGCTTGTTGGGCCGTCTAAGAAGCATCTTGGGGGTTCATTGGGCCATCTTGGGAACCTTTTGGGCCCTCCGTAAGCCCTTCCTGGGCTGTCTTGGGGCTCTCTTGTGCGCCTCTTGAACCGTCTCGAGGCGATCGTGGAGGCCTCTTGGGCCGTCTCGGGGGTCTAGACGGTCGAGAGCGCGAGAATTTCAGAATCCGCAGGAAACCCATAGGAAGTCTACGATTTCGGCCTCTTGGTGCCCTCGAGGGTGTCCCCTCGGAGCTGTCTCGAGGCGTTTTGGCGGCTTATGGGGCCGCCTTGGGAGCATCTTGGGCCAGAGGGCCGTCTTGGGTCAAGTCGGGGCCGTCTTTGGTCGTCTCGCTGCCTCCTTGGGCCGTGTCGGGGCTCGTCTCGGAAGCTCCGGTGCCGTTTCGGGGCCCTCCGGTGACCCGCTGGACCAAGGATAGAAGCACATCCCTCAGGAGCATGAGACCCTCCACCAGCCAAAGCACACAGAGAACATCCGAGCGCATCCTCCCCGGGATATACACAAGAGCATCCAGCAGGCCCGAAAAATGTCAGGGCACCCTCCGCAAGCCGGCCTCGATCTGGCACCGCGGTCCGACTGTATGTATGGCCGGTTCTGTTGGAGGCCTGGAAATTGGCACCAACACCAGCACAGGGGTTTGCCTCCACGAGGGGAAGATGCTCCTAGATGTCGGTGTTGGTGGTAATATTTCGGTCACCTTGGAAGCCAGAATATTACCACCATCACCGAGATCGGGATCGTCTTCCATCGGTGGAGGCACACCGCCGATCTTGGTGTTGGTGTCAACCTCTAGGCCTGTGATTCTGGGACCCCCGTGAGCCCAAAAACGTTTCCACCTCGGGGCGCCTCTCGCACGCCCGCCGGCTGCCGCCAGCCCTCCGCCGCCCTCCGCCTGCGGAGGCGGCCCCCCCTTTGTTTCTGGCCGCCTTCCGACGCCGACCTGCGGAGCGGAGAGGATGGCAACTCCCTCGATCCTCGAAGGCAAGGACCTTTCTGGAAGGCCTCATATATATATATATATATATATATGTATATATATGTATATATATACTTATATATATATATGTGTGAATATATGTGTATATATATATATATATATATATATATTCGGCTACAGCCGCAACGATCATCAAGAACATCAATATCTAAGAAACGTGGGCCAGCTTCCTGGAGCTTGCCTCCAAAGTACCCTGGGCCAACGTTTTTCTTCACGCTGGAGGCACGGACGTGCTCTGAGAACCTGGGCCAACCCTCCAGCGAATTGGTTCAGAGACGTTGGCCCAACTTTTCAGGAGGAGGTCTCCTGAACGGATGCTCGACCGTAGAGAGGGAGAGATGTGGAGTTGCCCAGCGCCCACTGGAGGACGCCAGGCCCCCGGGCTCGGTGGCCCAGTGTGACCCGGCATCGTTGCTCCCCGTCGTGGCCTCCAACCGCGTGCCTGCGCACGGCCCTGCTTCGAATGAAACAACTTCTGCGCTGACAAGACAGCCTTCTCTCCAAGCGTGTTCTTAAACCGCAGTCCGAGTCCACAGATGCGAGCGTTCCACGAAGAAAAGAAGCTCCAAGAAGACGCCCAGGGCCCAGTCCAGGCATTTGACTCTTGCACGAAAACTGGATTCCACGAAAGTTGCCGCTGTTCCTCAAGAGTTGTGATGGGTGTGGAGCTGTTGAGGGCTTTCTGCCACCACGGTGGCAACATCGGGGCTGTCCAATAGGAGGGCGTCCAAGAAGGGGGTTCGCAGATCATGGTCCGACGCGCGTGAGCGGCCCAGGGAGTCAGGGGTCAGGGAACGCATCGAAACGAAAGAGGCATCATGAAGTTTAGGAATGAGAGATATCATGACCCTGGCCATGATATCCACTCCTCCTTAGTCATCACCCTCCTCTTTGCCATTTCCGACATGTTTAACCTCGGGGGTCCGTCATCAGGCCACGGGACCGTCAAAAACTAGCTCGAGAGCTAGTCCCGGGTCATGGTACCAGAATTCGGTGTTGGCTGTAATCCTCCGGCCACCTGGGACGCCCGAGTATACCCACCATCGCCGAGATCGGGATCATCTTCCCTCTGCGGAGACACACCGCCGATCTTGGCGATGGTGCTAACCTCTAGGCATCCGAGAGCACCCCAGCTCTCAGACGCTCCTGAGAAGACCGACCGAGGTGGAGATGCTTAGCAGTTCCCTGCCTCCACAAAGGCCGCCACAGGGCCGCGGGGCCGCTTGCGAGAACGAGCTCGGACAACGGGCTGGCGGGGGTCTGCGTGGATCCCTGGCGCTCTTGGCCTTCGTTCAACAGTCTGTCGGGCGTGGCTCAACGGGGAGGCGATCAACAGGGGGTCGAGAATCGTTCGGGCCCAGAAGGGGCACGAAAGGTGCACCTTCTCCCAACCCCCCATTGATCGCCCCCGTTTATCGGCGCCCTCTGCTCCTTGCAAGGACACAGCACTGGTGCAGAGCTGGGACCGTTGGAAGAGTGGCGCCTTCCAGAGCTACATCTGGGAAGCGAGAGATGTGGAAGACGGGGTGGCAGACAGGATGGCGGAGGAGGACCTCCCATGGTAAGAGGAGGAGAACGGATGAAGAGCGCAGGGGCGCGGGCGCGAAAACTTTCGGGGGTGGGTCCGCCCCCTACCGTACAGCAGCAAGGAAGGTTCCAGAGGCGAAGGGGAGTTGCCGTGGCAGCAGCCTCGACGGGGTGTAGTGGGGTGCCCGTCCCCCGCAGAGGAGAAGGTTGCAGTGGCTGCTGCCTTGACGGGATGCAGCGGGCTGCCCGTCAACCATGGTGGAGGTGAGGAGGTGCCACGGCGGCGGCCTGGACGGGACGCATCGGGCGCCGCTCCCCCACCCGTGGGGCCTGGCAGAGCACTCTCGGGAGTGCTGCGGAAGAGCGCCCAGTGCAGCGCCGCAGTGTAGCGCCGCCGCAGGGAGGAGGAGGAGGAAGGGAGGAGGAGCAGGAGGAGGAGGAGGAGGAGGAGGAGGAGGAGGAGGAGGAGGAGGAGGGAGGAGGAGGAGGAGGAGGAGGAGGAGGGAGGAGGAGAAGGAGGGAGCGAGGGCCGTGGCTCCCGGCAACGCGGTGGGAAGATATCGCATGCGGCGCCGAGGAGGGCTGCCGGCGAGGTGGGGCTCGCCGTGCCGAGGACCGACCGCACGTGGCAGCCCGCTGTGGCGCGAGAGCGCCCCAGCGGGCTGCCGCGCGTGCCCCCGGAGCACGGAGGCGGGAGCACGCCGCCGAGGCAGGGCGCTGCGGCGAGGAGCTCTGCGCCAAGCGCTGGCGCTCGAGGCGCTGAAGCCGGTGCAGCTCCAATCGTGGATTGGCCACGGGGCATCACCGAGGGGATCCTCCAGGGTCCAAGGCCTCCTGGGCACTCACGTCTCATCGCCCGATGAGCTCCCCCCCCCCGCGGCCCCTGCCTCACCCGCTGGCCCCGAGCTGCGTGGGGGGGGGGTCCTCGGAGAGGCAGGCGCGCGACGGCAAGAGCGGAGGGGGGCGAGGCGAGGGCACTCGCCAGAAAGACGGCCACAACTGAGCCAAAAGAAGGAGGAAGAGGAGGAGGAGGAGGAGGAGAAGGATGGGGAGGGGGAGGAAGAGGAGGGCAGAGGCAGAGGAGGAGTCATAGCAGGAGGGAGAGGAGGATGAGGAGGAGGAGCAGCAGCAGGAGGAGGCGGGAAAAGGAGGAGGAGGAGGAGGAGGAGAAGGAGGGGGGATTGGCGGGCGACGCCATCGGGCAAGACCGCCCAGGCCTCTCCGAGCGGGCGTGGGGCCACGAGGATGATGGCGACGACCACGAGGCGACGACGGCAGCGGCGACGACGTCAGCGAGCGGCCTCAGCCACGATGTTCTTGAACTGCGCAGGTATGACCCCGATGTGGAAGCCACGGCGCATCTGCTGGAGATCCTTCAGCTGATACCTCGCGAGGGCGTAGCATCGAAGTTCGAAGATCGAGACTGCTCTTGGTACTGTTCGACTTTTCGGGCCTCCGGGAATCTCTGGGGGCCTCTGGGCCTTCTCGGAGATCTCTGGAGACTTTCGGAAATCGATGGAGGCCCGGGGAGGGAGACGGGAGGATCGGCACGCGACGTGTGCGAATGGAAAGGACGGCGCCTGCCCGTTCCTTCACCCTGCACACCCCTCCACACACCACAAGGGAGCAGGACAGGGAGCAGGAGGACCTGGAGCAGGAGAAAGAAGGCGAGGACCACGGTCGGGAACCTTTGCTTCGCGTGTCGCGGCGGCGGTCTCGGCGACACGCTACCCCCTTGCAGGCGGATGGCGTGTCGCTCCGCTCGGCGGGGCGGGGTGCCCGGAAGGGCTCGGCACGTCGACGCCTTGGGACCAGGAAGTGGATAGCGTGTCGCGCCTAGGCGTGGTAGGCCAGGACTGGAGGAGCGACACACTGTTCCAAAGTTCGAGACCATAGCAGGATGACAAGGAGGAGCAAGATGAGCAGCAGGACAGGGAAGATCAATCAGAAGAGGACTACGCTCGGATTGTTCAGCCTGCGTCTTGAGACAGGGAACCCGGCCCCAGCGGCGCCCAGACTTCCGTGCGCAATTGTCACCCCCCCTTTCCCGATCTCCCCCTCCTCCCCCGCGACACGCGATCGCCAGACATGTTTGAAGGGGCCCAGGGACACACAAATAGATACACACACACAAATCAAAGGATTCCCCATATTTTCCTACATCTTTTAGGTTTTTGTCTTCCCCCCCCACTTCCCATATTTTCCCATGTTTTCCTTGGAATCGACGATTCATTGTGTCTGTGTGTTTTTTTCCCCTCCTGAGACATGTTTCCGCCGCAGCGCGGCAGCGGCAGTCCGCACGCGCGCTCGGGAGGGCCGGGGAGGCGGCAGGCGCTGAGTAACTGGCGGCAGGAGGAAAAGACAGGCTGACTACCTACCAAACCACCCCAGCCCAACCCGAAGACCCGAATTTCGGGTTGGGGGGGGTATGGGCTCCACATGTGTTTTTTCTATGTTCCCGGACCCCCCCCCACTAGAAATCGAGGGTAAATCTGAGCCTTCGGGTTGGGTTGGGAAGGTTTGGTGGGTGGTGACAGGCGGAAGCGGCCGCGAGATGGGAGGAGGGGAGGGGAAGGCGCTCACATGGCGGGCGTCGCCGCGGAGCGGCCGGGGCGGCCAGCCCGCTCGATCCCCAGGCATGCAATGTCCTGTTTTTGGTCGCTACGGGCCCCCCCCCCCGGAAATCCTGAGCCGTGACCTGGTACCAGCATTTCGCTTGTTGACGGTCCCGGCCGAGTCCCGGCGAGGGCCCTGGGAAGCCGAAAATGGCCAGAAACCTCCCGTCGTGGTTTCTGTACGACGCGAGCATGTCTGGGCCATCCGGCCATCCACCTCCACCTCCTCGAACCTCGATTCCCCTCCTCGATCCTCCACTTTTTCGTCCGACCTGATCAAGCGCCTTGGCAACCAGGCCAGGCCTACACCTCCCGCCCCCACCCCCCGCTCGCGCGCCGCAAGGGTAGCAGAACGAAGGGGGGGGAGGAGGAGGAGGAGGAGGAGGAGGAGGAGGAGGAGGAGGAGGAGGAGGAGGAGGAGGAGGAGGAGGAGGAGGAGGAGGAGGAGGAGGAGGAGGAGGACGACGATGAGGAGAACGAGGAGGAGGAAGAGGAGGAGGAGGAGGAGGAGGAGGAGGAAGAGGAGGAGAACGAAGGATAAGGAGGTGGGTGGAGAAGGAAGAGGAGGATGAGGAGGAAGAGGAGGAGGAGAAGGGCGGAGAAGGAGGAGGAGGAGGAGGAGGAGGGAGGAGGGAGGATGAAGATGGAGAAGCAGGTGGGAGGAGGTGGGAGGAGAAGGAGAAGGAGAAGGAGAAGGAGAAGGAGAAGGAGAAGGAGAAGGAGAAGTAGAAGGAGAAGGAGAAGGAGGTGAAGGAGGATGCGACGGAGGAGGAGGAGGAAGAGGAGGAGCAGGAGGAGGAGAAGGAGGGAGGAGGGAGGAGGAGGGAGGAGGAGACGAGTATCGTAAACGGGTGTGCTATAAAGGGGTCTGGCGCCAGCGCTGAAAGTGAGGATGTTTTTGTTTACGATATCCGCAAGTGACTTGCATCCCGATCTCAAAAGCGTTGGCATTCTGTCTGCCGCCTAAAACAACCTCAGAATTCCTGATTCCGGCTTCTCCAAACGACCACAATCCTGTGAGAACCGCAGCACGAAAGCCTGTTCCAGGACGGCCGATCACCAAACACGCAACTGCGAAAATAAGGAATCGCGAAACGCGTGATTCGGTAAATTCCGTATCGCCAAAAGCGCGATTCTGGAAACTCCTGAATTTGAAAATAACATCGTTTCACTGCAAATCCTAACTCTGCACACTCGGGAACGACGTTCTGAAAATTATGGAATGACAAAGATGAATCCTGGAAGCTCCGGAATATCCGGAATCGCGTGTCTAGCGGCAGTGCGTCATCGAATGGGCCTTTGCGTCGCTGTTCAGATTTGACGGAGGTCGTTGGGGGATGTTGGGATGATTATTTTCGGACTCTGTGTGAAGCGGTCGACGCAACGCCAACGTTGTTGAAATCGAGGTGCAAGGCACTTGCGGATATCGTAAATAACATCCCCACTTTCAGCGCTGGCCCCAAACCCCATTTATACTACACCAAATTACGACCTCTGGAAAGCGAGGAGGGGGGCCGGTGTAGCGGAGGGAGACGAAGAAGGATTGGCTCAGATTCGCAGCTGAGTGTAAGGACGGCAGGAGAATCGGGAGGGCGAGGAGGGGGAGAAGGGCCAGGAGGAGGAGGAGGAGGAGGAGGAGGAGGAGGAGGAGGGGATCAGGGGGTGAGGGAGTCGGATCAGGAGGAGGCCCCGAGTGGCAAATCGTGAAGCCTCTGATCTCTTCTGGCTCTGCCCCGCGCGGACCGAGCGCCTTCGGCGACTCTCGACGAGGCAGGCCCCCCTCGCGCCGCGGATCACATCACGAGTGGAGGTCTTCAGCCTCTTTCGGCCTTCGGGGATCTTCTGACCAGGGTCAATCCAGACCCGGGTCAGCAGGAAACCAAAAACTGCAATGCAGGAAAAAAAAAAAATGCAACGCAAATCCTCGCAAACCCGGGTCAGCCAATACGCGCGGCCGCCCCGCGGCCACGAGCGGCTCGCTAACCCGGGTCAGCCAGAGGGGGTCTTCGCAGGATCCTGCAGGATCTGGCGCCCGGGCTGACCCCCGTTTGCATTGACCCCCGTCTCAAGGCTCCCGAGGCCTACGGGGGCCCTCACTGCCGGGGACCATCAGAAGGACGACTCGGGACGGAAAGCCGGGCCCCCGGGAAGGGCTCCAGACCTCGACGGCGCTTTTTTCCGTCGGCAGCGAGGCCGAGGCAGTCCGCTCGAGCGTGTGGCTATTCTGAAGGGGCCCCAGGACACACAAATAAATGCACACAAATAACAATGGTTCCCCATATGTTCCTATATTTTTTTTGAGTTTCTGTATTCCCCCCACGTCCCATATGTTCCAATATTTTCGGGGGGATCGCCGATCCATTGTGCCTGTGTGTTTTTTTTCCCTCCTGATATTCGGGAAACGGGTGGGCGGATTGGCCGGCGTGCAAGAGGGGGGGGGTGGGGGACAAGACGAGCGCGGCCGCGTGAGTGGTGAGGGGAAGACGAAGGGGCCCTGGGACACGCAAATAAATACACACAAATGAAAGGATTCCCCATATTTCCTCATATCTTCTCTGTGTTTGTCCTCCCCACCACCTCCCATAGTTTCCTGTATTTTCTGGGGGATGGAGGATTCATTGTGTCTGTGTGTTTCTTTCCCTCCTGGAGGCAGCGCGACGGCGCAACCAGTCTGCAAGTCTGGTGCGGCTGCTTCGTGTTGTGACGACGCGTGCGAGGGGTTCTGGCACCGCGCGGGTCGCTCCACGAGAAGCGCGAGCGGTTCCCCAATCGCACAGAATCGCTCGATATCGGCCTCGGCGGCGAGCGAGGGGGGCAAGTGAGAAGGAGGAGAGAAAAGACCTTCTCGGAAGGAGGCGGGACTTCTCGGAAGCCCTCGCGCCTTCTGAGAAGCTGTTTGTGCCTTCGGGGACGGCGTAGAAAACCTCTCAGAAGGCCGCCTGGGGACTTCCGAGCCATCTGAGAAGGCATCCGCCTTCTCACAAACCCCCCTCGCTCGCCGCCGACGGCCGATTCCAGTACACTGGCGGCGTGAAACCTTGAACGCACGCGCTGGGGTCGCCGCCGCGTCGATACGACACGGGCCTGCCTTGAAGAGCTCTTGAAGCCAACAGCACCACGATCACACAGAGGAGGTCTCAGACCACACCTAAGGTCGGACCCTGAAGCTCGATATGGTGATTGCGAAACCACAGCGGCGCTCCTGCTCGCCCTTCGAAGACCGCGGCGGAGCCTCAACGAGCTCTCAAACACGGACCCGCAAAGGCGATGAAGAGGAGCACGAGGAGAAAAAGGAGGGCAGACAGGAGGACGAGCGGGAGAGAAGAGACGGAGCAGGGGAAACTGGACCCCGACACCCGCGGGCATGACCGTCTCGATTCCCAGCCCTGGAGGTCCCGAACCTGGAAGTCTGGAGGCAGTGGTTCGCCCGGGTCCGTTCCTGAGAACCCTGGGGCCCAATGGCCAGCCCTGGCGGCCCCAATCGAAGGAAACACGCCGGATTGAAAAAACGTGTCGTAGAAGACCTCTGGAGGTCCTCAGAATCCTGGGGCCCGATGGCCAGCCCTGGCGGCCCAAATCCAAGGAAACACGCCGGATTGAAAAAACTGACTACCTACCAGACCACCCCAACCCAACCAGAAGACCCGAATTTCGGGTTGGGGGGGGTATGGGCTCCATGTGTTTTTTCGATGTTCCCGGACCCCCCCCCCACTGGAAATGGACGGCAAATTGAGGCCTTCGGGTTGGGTTGGGGTGGTTTGGTGGGTGGTG